CCAGAATTCCCCAGCCAGCATGACTTGCTAGGGAATTCTGGGAGTTGAAGTCCACGCATCTTAAAGTTGCCAAGGTTGAGAAATACTGTTCTAAAGAGTGAAAGTTGTCTTTGGTGTTCCTGTCTGCCTCCCACAACTTGTTAGCTAAGTAAAAGGTAAAGACTCCCTCAAGTTAGGCTCAGTTAGTGGTGACTACATGAGCATATCCATGACTTCTATAACCATACGAACCTACTATAGTTTTGCTATTGCATTCAGTTTTTCCTTTCCAGTGTAGCCTGGAGCCTTGAGATTTTCATAGTGGCTCCAACCCAAGTACGAATCGGGCCCAACCCTCCTTGTTTTGAGATTCTCCAAGATATGCTAGGTGCTGTCAGTTGCTAGCCTTGCCATCCTGCAATCCTGGCAAACCCAGCTATATGCATTCTGCAAAAATCAGGGATAAGTTCTGCCACAGGCTGCCTTGACCCCTTTCAGGTTTGTTTCCTTTCTTTCTTCGAAATAGAAACATCCCACTTACCACCTGGAGCCCTGGGAGGCAGGTTAGGCCATTGTTCCTCAACCTGGTGTCTCCCAGTTTGGGAAATACTACAGCCAAACCATTGTTATCAGCCATGTTGGCCAGTTATTATGGAAGTGATAATTCCAACACCTCTGCAGTGCATTAAATTGGGATATGTTTGGCAGACTTCTGTTGCTTGTGCACTAAGAGGGTTGTGATAATCTGGGGCAGGGAATGTCTGTCAAGGGCAGTTCACTGTATGCAGTTTGTGAGGATATTGGAATCACTCCTCCGTTCTTCTGCATGTTACCCAAGTCAGATAAATAATTCTGAAATAAAACATTGGGTGACTACTAGTAATGTCATTCTAGGATATATGATATAGGGCAGTTTTTCCAAAGGCTGAATGCGTCACATTGTCATCACATTACCAAAGGAAAGTGGTTGTTGTAGTTGGAACACATGTGGAAGATGGCAGCCTGAGGTGGCGGATGTTAGGAGCGTACATTCAACAGTATACTTGTATGGTAATCTCTTATGGAACTCTGTGCAAGAATTTCCTCCCAAATAAACCCTGGAGACTTCTGAGGTACAAATATTTCAAGAATGTTAATGTGCTGTGCATGAGTCAGAAGAGGGGACTGTTAATCAGTAGAACTGGGAAATTGGAACAAAGAAATGAAACTGTGTTTAAGAACAATGGATGATTTGCTTTGATGATAGGTCAGTTTAAATGAATTTTCACTGAGATATATGTGCAAATGGTTCATGTGTTCTTGTTCCTTAAACACTACCAACAGCAGCCTCCCTGAGGGGGTCAAAATCTGCAAGATGACTGGGGCAGCATCAAGGGATTGAAGGCCTTCAACTGAGGCAGAGCTTCAACTGCAATGCCACGTCTGCTGTCTTGCAGATCATGACAATCCACCACCATCATCACCATGATCATTAATTGATTGATTGATTACGTGCCATCAAGTTGACTCTTAGTGACTACGTAGAGAGATTTCTTCCAGGATGGTCACCAAAGCTGAGCAATATTCAGATTGTTCAGTTTTCACTAGTACCATAATAACAAGAGGGAAGAAAAGCTCCCTTTTGAATGTATGGCTTTGCGTTGGAAAAACCAAACTAAAATGCTGTACTTCAAGTGATAATTAAATGTATTAATTAGTTAGTTGGTTAGTTAAAGATTTGGATGACCACCTGTCCTGTACCAAACAACCCTGGGCATTTAGGAAGAATTAGTGATATTACTACCCTTAAGTAATACAATAGATTTTTAAAAATTTATATACATTTCTGTTTTGAGAATGAATCCTTGGCCCCTCTGGATCAGGCCAAGACCCAACTTAATCCAGTATTTTATTTCTCACGGTGACAACTGGATACTTCTGGGGTGCTCACAAGCTGGGGATAAACACTGTGGTGCTTCCTCCCCAGCACAGCGTAACAAAATAGCAATTTGTCATTTCTTAGAAGTGTCTTCTGCCCCAATTGCAACCAACTGCAAGTGAAAACTCTGCTCACTATTTGGACAAATTCCCCAGTCACATTAATAGAGCAGGGGAGACTAAGAACGTCCATACCTAAGAAAGCCAGTATTAAATTTCCAGTAGATAACTAGAAGTTCTGACTCTACCATGTCATGTCTTTCCACAGTAAGGCATGGTACAAATTAAGATTGTGAAGACCACATTTGTTAAAGAGAGGAAAGAGGGAGGAAGTTCAGAATGGAAGTCAAGACTAGGGTCCACTTCCCTCTCTCTGTATCTCTCTCTCAGCAAATTTGGTGAGTCACAGCACATGAAATTCACACACTGAGAGATGTTCTCTTTCCTGCCTTTGTTCCTCTGGAACTGATAATTGTATTGAATATTTCCACCCAAATATTTGCACTCCCTAATGGCCCCTTTGCTACTCCTGGATACTGTTGCTCTTTCCTCCCTGTCGTTTTCTTAACTTTTGGGGTAATTACTGCAAATTTAGGCCAGGGGCTGTCAGTGTTGCTGAATCCTTACATACATCAATATACAGCAAATGTGTCTTTTGGAGTGTATCTTCACTATACCTTCCTTTTCATTTGCTATTGCTTGCTTTGAATAATCACCACTGAGCTTTGATTTCTGACCTGAATCATACCTGACCTTGAAAAGGAAAAAAAAAATCTTTAGGAGGGACTCATTGTTTCTGGTAAGTAAGCAGTGCAGAAGTTGAAACAATGCTAATAACAGAGGATAGAAATTTAGCATTCCCACCCCTAATGGATCACTGCTAAAGTTCTTCTACCTTCAAGGACCAGTTAACAATAGCTTTATAATTTCTCAGCTATTGGTTCACATTCAAAAATGTGCAAAGAGGACGTCCTGTGCATTTCTGTTTTAAATTTTAAAAGAAGAAAGAGACCTAGTACTCCCTCCTCGTCCCTTGTATGCCATGTTGGAAGCTGCAACTTGTAGAAGCAGCTCAGTGTTCTTTGAAGAGAAAATTGAAATCCTCAGTCATAATGGAGATTTCTGATAGGAATCGTCAGCTTGATGTTACAACATTTCCTACATTTATAAAAGTCGCTTACGTTTCCTCATGGTGATGCAGAGAGATGCAGAAAATATACACGCTCATCCGAATATTAACTAGCTTGTCTGCCATAGGTATCCAGTGTAATCGTTTGTGGAATACTCCACTTTGTGGAATGATGGCTTAAAGAAAAAGTGGAGAAGGGAATACAGCTCTAATCAGAATTCCTAAAGGGAATTCTTTTTTACTTTTCACAGGTAATCAGCCAAATGGATCTTAATGGACATGAATTAAGGGAGTTGCAAGGCTGATCTAAGTGCAGAACCTTTTATCACTTTGTTGTCTTGTTCTGAACTTTTAGGGAGTCCATCACATCAAAGCATAACTTCAGATATGAACATACATATATATGCTACTTTAATACTTGTTTCTGGAGTGCAACAAGGTTTACTGCTTTATTAAGCAGATGTTGAGTTTTTCATCTCCAAATAGGAATACAAAATTGAATTTAACCACAAAATTATACCATCATAAAACTATGGAATTCTAATGTCGTTAGGTCATAAAATTGCATTATTATAAATGTATAAAATCCCAACTTTGTAAAACCATTATTTTATTTTTTTTAAAGCTGAACAATAACAACGAGACATAGCAGCATAGACTCAGTTAAAAGCTTTGGTGAACAGTGTCCGCAGCTGATAAATGAAACCTTATGATTTTGGTGCCAGTCATTTCTAAATGAGGGAATTCCACAATCAGGTGTCTCCATTAAGAATGCTATGCCTTTGATAGTAATATTGCAAATTCCTGGCAGTTGTGCCAGCATTGGTGGCATTTGCCACCAGATCTTATGGACTGCTAAGTAGAAAGGATTATATCGTCAAACCCACTTGGTTGGTTAATTATCTAGCAAGGCTCTTAAGTTTGGGGGGGGGGGTGCGCGCGTTCAAATCAGTTTTGACTTCTTGCAACTGCTTGGGCAAGTTCATCCATTTTTCTTGGCAACATTTTCAGAAGTGTTTTGCCATTGTCTTCCTAGGCCTGAGAGAGAATGACTGGCCCAAAGTCACCCAGCTGGTTTTGTGCTTAAGACAAAATTAGAACTCCCAATCTCCCAGTTTCTAATCCAGTGCCTTTAACTACTACACCAAATTGGCTCTCACTTCTTAAGTTAGGATGATTTACTATTGTTATGCTAGATTGTTTTCTTTTTGTTGTAGTTGTTTTACCTTTGCTTGCCTTAGTTGCTGTAATCTAATTACTGTATCTTGGAATGAACACCATTCAGAGTTGCATTC